AGAATATTCCAATAAACAAAAATACTAAAATTACCCTTCGTTTCAAATTGATCTTTTTTTCATTAATGTAACAGAATTGCGTAATCATTTGCTGTTGTTGAAAGAAACCCTACTTTTCAAATTAATTAAATTACTCAGCATGTCACAGAAACTGAGACTTAAATTTTAATTTATCTATTTATCTATGCTTGTTTCAAATACGTTTTCCAACTGTGTTATAGTTTTCAATGTTACCTTAACTCTTTATGATATATCCTTTGAAAATGATTGAAATGTTCGTATTCTTGAATAGTTATACAAGTATTGGTTACATAGTAATAGTTAAGGAAAATCTATGTATATTGAAAATTAAATCATATTTGGTGTAGTTAAGAATTGGGTGCATTTCTACTTCGTCCATCCATCTGATCATTACGGTATGGTATTTAAGTACAATAGTACATTTCTTTTAAACAAATTATACTCATATCGTATTCAGACAGCCTGATCGTAACATGTTCGTAAACATGTACCCTCAGGATTGTGAGAATGGGGTTGCTTAACCAAGTAAGAAAGCCCCCCCCTTATAAAAACTACACGGGATAATTGTCAGTATGATGTTGTTGAGTTCATGGTATTTCACTGATTTCATGAAATGATTTTATTTGTTTATTTATCTGAAGACATATTTATTGGTACAATGAGACATCAAATAGATATGCTCCACATATATCATTTGATTGGTGTGAGGGCTGAGATACTGATCGGGTGCTCAAACCGAAGCAGGTGGTTTTCTTAGAGAGCCACACCTGGAGCCTTTGACCCAAAGGTCTGATACACAAAGAAGTGAGGCAGCTGCAGGAAATGAAGTCCCATGGTAGCCGGTGACCATGGGTACCATGTGCTCAGGTGCACCATTGATTTGGATTCAGGGTTTCCTAACTCCCCTACGTGGGCCCTCTGTGTTCGGTGGTGTTCTAACTTAAATCAGTTCATGATTTCAATGAAATGCAACAACCTCCACAACCATATACTAGACCGATAGGTTCTAATCTCATGAGGCGAAATCGTGGATGCGCATTGTTGAGGAGTCCAACAATAGGACGAGACGATCATCCAGTACTTCTAGGTTTTCCATGGTGGTCCAGCTTCAATCGATTCATGATCTCAACTATTGAAAATAAATATATCTTCAATATATTAAATCATACATTAATAATTTGGCATGATTTTTCTGAGATTATGTTATTATCCATTTTATAAAAATATGTAACTAATCAATGGTTTGCGTTGAGAAGATCCAGAAAATTCCTGGGAAAAAAAGTTAAATAAAAAAGGCTCTGAAAAAAACACTGAGACACCTCCTTATCCAATCAATATTCAATAGAAGGTTTAGCCAAAAACATCTAGAAAGTGTAATGTCACATGTCGTGTTTCTGATTGGTTGATTACTTATATTCTTATTCTGTTTAATAGTATTCCAGAATTTTCCAGAAACCCAAGGTCATCTACAATACTATAAAAAATGAACCTTTAGAGTAAAAGGTTTCTCTTGTCTTCAAGTTATTGTATAGATTTAGCCTAGAGGGTTACTAGAAGAGTTTAAGAAACTGAATTTAGCATTCGATTAGAAGAGTTATTAGTATGGAATGCCTAGTTATGGTCAACTGTGTTATTTAACTGAATATGTCCTTAATCATAAATATTTAGTCAGTGTTTTTTGAATAAGTTGATCAGTTGAATAGATCACTAGTTTATTTATGAAATACAATTTATGAGTAGTTAGTAGTAGTCTATAGTAAGCTCTTGACCTAAATTTCATATCACTCTTAAGGATACTGATATCACTAATATTGGTCATTCTAAAGACATCACTTGTTTAGCGCAGGTCTGAATTTAAATAGCTTCATTTTAAGCTTAAAACATACCACCGTTCATTTAATCGATCTTAATGCATTCTTTTAAATGTTCACTGGTAACTTCTCAATCTGTGGATCAGTGGTTCGAACTCTACTTACAATATCGATTTCTTCAAGAGTTCATCTACACCTTCCTGATTATTCCCAACATGTATTGTTCATTTTTTTTTTCCTTTACATAAATGTGTACTTTCACGAAAATTCCACATCAAAATACAATAGATGCAAAAGTTGTGTTAGACTGATTAACATGATTATGAGCACAGTGATGTTGAGTGCTGTTGGAGGAATGAAAGCGGTTATCACTTCCCGGTTTCCAACACCGTGGAAGGGTTTTTCTGGATGTAGCTGAAAAGTAAATAGTACTAGATGTGGTCTTAGTGACCTGAGTGCTTGACCGCAATGCCTAAGGGACAACTGCTTAAAATCGGTCGCACACGACCTTTTGTGAGTGATTTTCGTGTTAGCTCCGTGCTTGTTAAAGGCTTACCGTCGGAGACGGATATCTGTGGGATAAAGCGAGGTGTACATTTTAGGGTCAACGTTTCCTAACCACACCTCTCCTTATGGAAATGCAGCATCGCTACTATGCTAGTTGTCTGAAGGAAACACCTTACTGCTGTCGCACCACTGTACAATCAGAAATACGACTACGAACCTTGTGTTTACTTCTTTTAGTCTTACCGATCTTCAACCGACCTGTCTAGCATGGTAGGAACTTGAGGGACGATTGTTGCAGCCAGTATGGCTCACGATAGGCGAGCCCGACCACCACGTCAAGGTAGCAATAACGGTCGGGTTGGTACGTGCAGACAACTTGGTTGGAGTCCGTGTGACTATGGTAACCAATGGTTGGAGACTGTGGGTGACATGGCTCACAGTCTTTCCTTAAACTATAAGATTAAAATCACTTCATATCTTTTTTTCGATGAACTAATTCTTTCTTTCTGTACTATATCCTTATATACAATCTTTCTTTTATATATTACCACCACTGAATTAACTACTTCTATGAATTTCGTGTTTATCTTGTTGTTCTAATGAGGTGTGACAACTTGAACCGATGCATGTATGCGCCTTGTCCTACGTTGTACTGACTAGTTATAATCTCTGGTTAACATCATACTATCAATTTGACTAATTAACCAATAACAATAAGGAATTACGAGACAATTATTTTGTCTTGGTATAAAACTATAACAAATCTTGGTCATAAGACCATTAGTACCATTTATATCAATGATTTGTGATCCAATTTTTCTCACTTTCTAGCTATAAATTAAAATCATGTACAGTACTAATTTGAAGAAATATTAAAAACCTAGATAAATCTGTAATCCGTTCCGTTCTCATTTCTGACACTTCATCATTCGGTATTCACAACTCCTTAACCGGGAATCGAACAGTAAATCTCAAAACCGACTTACCAAAGTCAAACCTCTAAATCACTTAACCAGTATCCAAAGAGTTTATCAATCATGAAGTAAAATGCATTCATGCACAATATCAAAAGCCTTGGATACTACAGAGATTTTGTTCTACTTAAATTGTTTAATGATTTCATAATATAAATGAGGCATTGAATTTTATTACACTTAGTCTTATTGAAATCCATAAATTATCGAAACAATTAAAGCAACAAAAAACACAACGGAAATCATTCACTGTTTTCCTGAAATTAATAAAAATCAATAAAAGGATCCTTCTTCCATAATGAATGATAAACAGAAATTTTATATCTTTATCGATTGTACTATAATGTTTATTGATTTATTGATTTATAAGTGATTTATGATTATTATGACTGAATATTTCTTATCTTTAGATTGAATTAAGATTAGCTAAACTTCCTTTACCAGAAATATGAATGATAATACGGGAAAAGTCTACATAGAGAGTATAATTTAACATTTAGATATAAATCACCGTATATTATAACTCTTAATATTAGGAAAGATTAATATCAATGCATCTGTATTACACTATAAATGACTATGAATTAGATAACTTAGACGAACATTAATAATTTCAAAAGTGAATATAATTTTAAGTCCACATTAATAGTTGTCAAGCAATATTGTCAGGTTAAAGAATGCTATTCAGCCGTAAGTAAGTATGTAAGTAAGTGTGTAAGTAAGTAAGTAAGTAAGTAAGTAAGTAAGTAAGTAAGTAAGTAAGTAAGTAAGTAAGTAAGTAAGTAAGTAAGTAAGTAAGTAAGTAAGTAAGTAAGTAAGTAAGTAAGTAAGTAAGTAAGTAAGTAAGGAAGGAAGGAAGGAAGGAAGGAAGGAAGGAAGGAAGGAAGGAAGGAAGTGAGTGAGTGAGTGAGTGAGTAAGTAAGTAAGTAAGTAAGTAAGGAAGGAAGGAAGGAAGGAAGGAAGGAAGGAAGGAATTAAGTAAGTAAGTAAGTAAGCAAGTAAGTAAGTAATTAAGTAAGTAAGTAAGCATGTAAGTAAGTAAGTAAGTAAGTAAGTAAGCAAGTAAGTAAGTAAGTAAGCAAGTAAGTAATATTGTTTTCAAACATTACCATGAGAGAATCATAGAATCATTTGATATTTCAGTATTTTATCGAATTACTCAAATCACCACAAAAGTGTTAGTGAAAGTGCTTTTTCTGAAAAACATTCCGTAATGTAAATTGCACTTTTTTTCGATACTAATCATCTCATTATGAATATGAACATGGTCTGTTTAAAACACAAATTTATTTACACTGAGAATCAGTGACCAGTGGAGTTTAACCGCGTATGTTTTGAGATAGTAACTCACTGAAGACATTGGTGGATGTGTCGCTCAATTTTTTGAATTAGTTGAAGTTAGACATTAACACCGTTGAATACCGGTCGGCTCAATGGTCTAGAGTTTAAGCATTCGCGCATGAGACTGATAGATCTTTGGTTCGAATCTTCCCAGGTGGGATCCTGGATGCTCTCTGCTGAGGAGTGCCACCATGAAACGAAGCGTCTGTTCAGTGCTTCCAGGTTTTCGATGGTAATGTAGGTTCAATTTTCTCATGATCTCAACCATTGAAATTAATATAATATCCACAAAAATCTTTTTGATATTAATTACACTTTGTTTCAATTTGTTTTATTAACATTATAGGTGGAAGCGAAACGAGCTTTACCAAAAGAAGTATTGAGTTCAAGTAATGCTTTAGTGAAACAACGAAGTTTATTACCTAATGCATTTGGTAAGTCATACTATGGTGTACGACCACATAAATGAGAACCAATAAAATGTATTTGAAAGCAAAATTACATAATCTCTTAGTAAAATCTCAGAACCATACAGTAAATACTTTATTTGCAAACTATCAATCAGATGCCTCAAACGTGACAGTTCCTTTGTTTTCACACCAATCATTCTTTGTTCTCATTCTCATTTCTTTGATCTTCTTAACCTTCTGCCTCCGGGTATTTCACTTTCGATTGATGACACATACTACTCATTTATCTGCCAATATCATTAACACACACCACAATACTGCTTAAATCATAGTTTACAAAAGATTTTCATACATAGAATATATTACCATAAAGATAAAAATGAATGGAAATTCATTTTCAGGAATTACTTCAAACCATTATATTTAAATCTCTCTTTTCTATTTTTTTTTCCTTTAAAAAAATTTCCACTTAATATACTTCAGAGTGAAAGTAAATTATCTACATCAAAGCTAATGACAATCAATTCTCTAATTCTAAATGCAAACCAACTTAATACTGGCTTTTTTAATATAAAGAATTCAAGTCTTTCACCTGATGGAGAAGCATAGGTCACACGCCAGCACTCTCTATCCAACTCTGTCCTGAGCAATTCTTCCCAGTTGTTTCTAGAATGTTTAAGTGCTTTCTTCTTCATTTCTGCAGCAAATTTGAAAATTCTCTTGGTCTGTCACATTGTACGAGCATTCTATGTATCTAAATGAATGGTTGTTCTGGTTGTTAGAAGAGGCATCAGCCTTGTAATTTCCGAAGGAACTCGGCTTTCACCATGAGGCGTCATAACTCTTCTGTGAATGAAAACCTTGTAACTCCCAGGACAGAGTTTAAATGGTTTGAATTATTTTTTTCTGATCAGCGTTTTTTTTCGAGTTAGGTTTGTGCAGGATAGGGTCACTAACTCATGCCCGACGCTCCTACTTTATCCAGACTTGGGACCGGTATTAGCCCAAAAGGGGCTCCAGGTGGAGTTAGGTCCTTTCCTGAGTAACTGTTATTTAATAACAGTGGCACCTATGGACTATATAACTTAACGATAAACATATTTATTGTAACATCTTTTAATTCATAGTAAAAAGTAATTCATAATTAAAATTACAAACAAAACTTATTACCTAAGAATTAGTATTGTCAAAGTGCTAGGTTCAGTTAGCAATGATGGATAATGGCTAGCAGCAGAATCCAGGACACGCGTTTCGTTCCATTTAGGACTCGTCAACTGGATATACTTGCATCTCAGAGTTGATGTTCACCCTTGAACTCGAACCCAGTACCGTTCGCTTCGAAGATACAAGTAAACAACATCAAGTAAATATATTAGATTCAGTTGTTTTATACTTTAAAACAGTCATTAGGAAATGACGAATTTGAGTTACTTTACGATTTGGCAATCGTCAGCAAACTATGTATTCACTTTTTATAAAATTTTATTCTCTTCCAAAGGTTCAAACCTACTTCATGTACATTCATTATCATAAACATAATCAGTTAGTACCTGATCGTTTCAGTAATCACGCATAACTCCTGAAGGAATCAAACCAAAGAAATTCACGTGGAAATGACTGTCCTCTGCTTCTTATCTTTCAATGGCATCCCGAATAAGGTCACCTTCTAAATATTACTATTTATAGGTATACAATCGTATTAAATCATTCTATTAGAAGCGAAGTTGAGATAATGTGATAATCACAGATAAGATTCTTTTAAAAATGTATTTTCGACCATTTTCTGGTTCTATGTTCCTATTCCCAGTGATTGAGTCGTAGATATTAAACTCCTATGGACTCCAATACTAATACGAAACAAATATCCGATGTTTTCTGATCATCAAGGAATTTCCAACTACGGTCTATTCAAATAATCTCCATAAAATGCTTGCAATTTCTATTCCAATGATTGTTTGATTATTATCATTACTATTATTATTAATTTTCTTTATCTATTTAGCTTTACCAAATGAAGTTGATTCGGCAGCTACAGCTGCAGCTACTATAGCTGCAGCTGCTCTTGCATCAAGACAACAACAACATCAACAGCAACAACACTATCAGAATATAAATCAAAATTTACAGAACTCAGGATCTGCATTTGTATCACTTGCTTATGCATCATGTAAGTTAAAATATGACTTATTTATATCGAATAACTTCAGTTCACACATTTATTTACTATAAAGAATGATAAATTATTGTATTTGTTAAACATAATGAAATGAAATGATGGAATAGTTAGTCAGATGATTACAAGTTAGTGATGTAATAGATTGCAGGAAGATGTTTAAAAAAATGTTTCCATAGTTGATCTAAGTTAGACCACCACTGAAAGCCCACAAGCACTTAATGGCAGTTTCATTCTAATGTGGGACTCCTCAGTATTATGCATTTTTGATCCTGCTCTCGGGATTCGAACTTAAGACTTTATATCTCTCAGGAGAACGCCTAACCTGTAGACCATTGAGCTGTCTTCCAACGATATTAATGTCTGACTTCAATCGATCCATGATTTTGAGCAACCCTTCATCCATTATCTGAGGTAGACACCTGCTCTACATGACACGGATTAAACTCCACCGGTCATGGCTCATGAATTCAACTAACAAAATTACTCCAGAAACCCCTATTCTTATAAATAAATACGTTTCAAATAATCAAAGTTATTTTGAAACTAAAGAAAATTCTAGAAAATGACAGATTATGTTTCTATATGCTGTTGGAAAATTACAAACCTTGTTATCATTTTCTATGAACTCGAGAAGAGATATAATTCTTAAATATCTTTGTTTTCTGTAAGGAAATAATCTTAGAATTATAACCCACTTCATGCATTGAACCTTCTGTTTTCGATCCAGGTTTATGAGGTTGAAGATTGATGATGACTCGAAAGTGAGGAAAGATACAAAGTCTAAATGTTCAGGCGGTTAATAAAGTGCTTTCTCAATTGATTGATCACTAAGTGGTGATCAATCTCATGTGTGTCAAGTCCTTCTATGTGCAGATTGAACGTTATCGATCGAGATGCAATGTGACCACTAGTCTCGACTAGACTCGACACTGTGTGCACTATGTTGAGATAAGATGGTGGTTGGAGGTAGTCAACAGGAAACCCTAGAACCGAGTTTCGTGCTACTTGACGGTCGTCAACAAGGGGTACCTGTAATCTTAAGGTAACTGATACCCGCTGACGGATTTGGTTGAGATAATGAATTGATTGATTTAGATCACCATTAAAAACCTGGAAGTACCGTTTCTTCCTAGTATGGACTCCTCAGTAGTCGCACCTATGATCCCACACTCAGGATCCGAACCCAGGACTTTCGGTCTCACTCGTGAGCGCTTAGCCTCTATATGTTAAGAAGATGGAGATTATGGGAAAATGTGGTATGTGTGAACCACTTATATTTCATACACTTTAATCATAGATGTGTATCAAAAGGGATTTTGTAGACATTATATTAATTTTAATGGTTGAGATCATGAATCAATTGAAGCTAACCAAACATGGAAAACCTGGAAGCACGATCCCACCTCGAGAGATTCGAACCAAGGACCTATCGGTCTCATGCGCGAACACTTAACCTCTAGACCGCTGAGCCGACCGGTATTCAACGGTATTAATGTCTAACTTTAACTAATTCAAGAAATTGAGCGACACATCCACCATTTTTTCTTAGTGAGTAATTATCTCACAACACACCCAGTTAAACTCCACTGATCACTGCGCGAGAGACTGATAGGTCCTAGGGTCGTGGATGAACACTGCTGAAAATTCCCGCAATAGGACAAAACGGCCTTCCAATGTTTCCAGTTTTTCCATGGCGACCTACCCTTAATTGATTCATGATCTCAACTATTGATATGTGTATATATTAAAAAACATTTCTGAAACAAATCCAAATATTGACCTGGAAATGTTTGTTTTTCTTTGAGAGAGACAAAGAAAAAGAGTGGGGAACTTTCTATGAAAATTGTTATCAGTAAATTCATTAGGTTTATAAAAACATTGATCATTAAAGAATTCAAACCTGATTTATGTAAATTTTAAGTTGACCTGATAAATTTTCATTTCTAATATATCAATGATAGTTTAATGACAATTTAGTAACTATATCATTACCCTACTATTTCATGTGGATAATTGACCTTTTCTTAGTTTGTTTCATTTTAAAGTAAAATGTCCTGACAGATAAATGTATGGTCATGTTTATTTCATTATCTTTTTATACTAATGAAACTAAAGATTGTACAACTTCCATATACTTAATTATTTACTTACTCACTCCCTCACTTACTTACTCACTTACTTACTCACTCACTTACTTAGTTACGCCTGTTACACCCAATGGAGTATAGAATGCCGACCAGCATTCTCCAACTTCCATACATTGTGTCATTAACAATTTTTATGATATTTTGAATAATATAAAGAATAATGTAACATATTCACTATGAACAAGTTCATGTTCTAAGCTTAGAACAACATCTATTGATGGTATGAAGTTTAATGATAATAATTAGCTACAGAAAGTAATGTAGATAGGTAGTTAGAGATATGAATTTGATATAATAGTCTCTTATCGTATTTTTAATCGTAATGTTATTCCTACGGTTGATTTACTGTAATGTAATGTAATAAGCATGGAATATAATGAACAGGTTGGATGTAACTAAACAAATTGGACTTCGCAGATCACCTAGGTCTTCTATTCTATATACACGAACAAATGCAGATGAAGAAAACCAGTGAAGCATCAGTAGACATCAATATAAACGAGGGAAAATGAGAAATACAACACAGAGAAAACCAATGAAACCAATCACACTTGATGGAGAAGTTCGTGAAGATATGGAAACTTTCACATACCTAGGAAACATCATCGATAAACAATGAGGATCTGATGCAGACGTGAATGTGAGGATTGGCAAGTCAAGGACAGCATTCCTAGAATTGAAGAACATATGGAACTCAAAACAACTGTCAACTCATATCAAAGTCAGAATCTTCAATGCGAACGTCAAGACAGTTTTACTGTACGCGGCTGAAACTTGGAGAACCAGTACAACCAACAACAGCCTACTATGGGAAAGAACAAACCAGGTTCCAACTGAAGAGGAAAAGACGTTGAAAGTGGATAGAACATAAATTACAGAAATCACTGAACTTCATCATGAAGCAAGCACTAACATGGGATGATGAGGGGAAACGGAAAAGTAGAAGGCTGGAGAACACACTGAGCTGTGAATAGGAAGCAGATGTCGAAAGTATGAATAGTAACTGGGAACACCTGAAAAGAGTTGCTTTGAACAGAGTTTAATGCAGACTGCTCGTAAGCGGTATATACTCCTTTATGAAGGATAACAAGCGTAAGTAAGTAGCTCATGTAATGTTTTAATTATACAATTGCTCATTATAACCACTAAACTACAATTTCGAAAGCTAAAGCTTTGATTTCTTTAATAATTTTTCTTAATAATCAGTGATGCCATTCAATCAGTTTCAATCATTTCCATTAACATCTAACAATTATGTTGGACAACCTTTAACTACATCAAATCTAACAATGGAATCCTCAGGTATACATCATCAAAATCTTCATCATTCAAATCCTATTGAATTCCCATCTGCAGCTGTATTACCAAATGGTTAGTTATGATAATGCATTAAATAATGTTTTGTGTCAGAATGAAGGTTTGTGAAGACTGTAGTTATTTAATAGCTGAATTCATGAGTTAGACCACCATGGAAAACTTGGAAGCCGTTTTGTCCTAGTTTGGGACTGCTCAGCAGTGAGCATCCACAATCACGCATGTGGGACTCGAACCCTATATCTTCGCTCGAATTCTTAACCTCTAGACCACTGAGCTGACATTCAACGGTGTTAATGTCTAACTTCAACCAATCAACGGTTGGAATCCACTGGTCATGGCTTCTCACTAGAACTCCAGGAAGCACATCTTGAAGCTATTCAGTAGCGAGCACATGATGTTGATTATTATCAGTTACTCACTGAAGACAATAGTGGACGGTCGCGTGTTATCATGGATTGGTTGAAGTTAAACATTAACACCGTTGGATGCTGGCTCAGCGATTCACAGGTTAAGCATTCGTTCGTGAGACCGAAGATCCTGTGCATGAGCTACACGTGAGGGATGGTGGATGTACGCAACTGAGCAGTCCCATACTAGGACAAAACGGCCGTCCCGTGCTTTCAGGTTTTCCATGGTGGTCTATCCTTAATCGAATCATGAAGTCAATTACTAAATATTTTATGTTTTAAAAAAATGGTGAACTATATCATCTGATTCGGTGTAAATTAGAAAGGTCAAATTAGAAAAGGTCAGAAGGATTCATTTACATATTGAGAGACATTTAATGTATTTTTTGCCAGTCGTATCATTAACATACCGTCTAAAATCTAATCACAAATAACATGAATTTCACAAGATACATTCATTTTTAACATGGATGACTGTGAAAGTTTTTTTCAAACAGTTGTTAACTCAAATAACAAATAGAATATATGACATGAACTACTGATATCTATTTAGATGGTGGTTTGAGGTAGTCAACAGGAAACCATGGACCCGGGTTTCATGCTACTTGGCACTCGTCAGCAAGGTGAACCTGTAATCTTGAGGGAACTGGTTCTTCCTGGCGAGTTTGATCTCGTGTCACCCAGCTTCACAGTGAGAGACGTTACCACTGAGCTGCTGTCGACCATGTTGCAATGTGGCCACCAGTCTAGGTGACTCGACACTGCGGGCACTAGGTCTCATCCAATCTGCACTAATAAGGACTAGACAAGCAAGACATTGATCACCACCCAGTGATTAATCAATTGTGACTGATATCTATTTTCATTAAGCCTAATATATTTTAATTGAGATCATGAACTGATTGGTGTTAGACCACCATTGAAAGCCTGGAAGCACTGGACAGCCACTTTGTTTTATTGCGGAACTCCTTATCAGTGCCTCCACAGTCCCACTCTCGGGATTCGAACTCAGGTTCTATCAGTCTCTTGCGCGAACGCTTAACCTCTAGACCAATGAACCGGTATCCTACGGTGTTCATGTGTAACTTCAACCAATCCATGAAATTGCGCGATCAACTTCCGTTGTACTGAGGTAGATACCTATCTCTGCCCGACGCGTGTTGGCTCCATTAGTCACGGCTTCTCACTAGAACTCCGAGAATTTATATTTATAACATTGGCAGTGTACAGGACAACACAGATACTTCCACAATACTTATGGCTAATAAAAGCATTCAGTCCTACGGTACATACACGATTATTACACGCATCAATACCATGCATCAATGTTTTGGTAATTCTTAGTTATCATTTGTTTAATTAAAGTTAATGCCTATTTCATTTTGAAACTTCAATATGTTTTAAACAATTTCACTGAACTATGATCTATTTCGTTCTATTTTAATAATTAGGTCATTCTACAACAATGAATAGATTTCCACAACTTGGTATACAATCTGATGTAAATCTTCAACCTTCATGTCCTTTAAATTTTACTTATAATTCACCTACAGCCTATATAAATTCTACAGGGACATTAACATCAGTTGGTAACTATTTAAATACAACCATTCCAAATATTATAAATCTTGCACCATCTGGAACAATTCAAGCATTATTACCTAATTTAACTTATAATATTTTAACAACTTTAAATGATCAACGTAATCAACCACTTCAAACGCATCAATCACAACAAACAATTGGACAACAATCATTACAACAACAACAACAACAACAGCAGCAAAATCAGTCATTACCTTCTATTCAGTTAGATGTTGAAACATTAAAACAACAGATACAACTACAGAATTGGTCAAATAATACACCATATTCACTGATAGCATTAAATCAAAAGGTTAGTGTTTTTTTTCTTTTCTTAGCAAGTTAGTTTTCTATGGGATACGGTTGCTAACCCCATGCTCAACCCTCTTTCTTTATCCGCGCTTGAGATCAGCAGTAGCCCCAGAGGGACTCCAGGAGGAGTTAATCAATTTTTATTTTGCGTTTTATACAAATTGAAAGTAAACATTGAATGAAGTTCAGTATGTATTTTTTTCCTCTATTTCTCATTAACTTTTAGCTCATTACTTAAAAGATTTTGATGTAAAATATATAAAAGGTATATCAGAAACTATAATGAGATTATTAAGACCGCTTTGAAAATGAGCAGCGCATACACCGATGAAATTGAAGTAAATTTTAAAATGAAAGTACAGGATGACCGTTTCGTCCTATTTTGGGATTCTTCAGCAGTACTCTTCCGGGATTCCGCTTGCCGGATTCGAACCCAGGATCATCGGTCTTGTGCTCGAATACTTAACCTCTGAACCAATGAACCGGCAGTCACCTATATTTAAAATGAATAATTTAGATATCATTGTTTTCTAACAAGCTGACAAATTTGTCCTTATACTATACTCTTACCTTAGTAAATTACAACTATATAAGTCAATAGTATCATGAATGCCACTAGATAGGATGATCCTACTTTGAGTTCATGTATAATCATAAGTTTACATTCCAAGTTTTCAATAATTCTCATATCGTTAGTCTATGATAGAAATTAACTTCCAATCAAAATACTATTACTTTATATTTCCTTACTTTTCAGTTTTACATGAAGATGGATGCTAATAAAATCTACTACTTTAGTTATCAGTCATCTTTCCACATATTAAATACAAAACTATTTAGATGTACCCTTTCAGTATTAAGTGTTTATAATCTGAAGTTAATCATACATTGTCATATTCAATGAAAATATCGTATCGAATGTTTCATTTAGTCTTTGTTATCTTGTAATGGTCAGTATTTAATATAATTCTTACACTTTTTATACAGTTTGTATTGATAACCGTCACTAGATACCGCCTCAACGGCATATTGATCAGAAGGTGAATACGAAGTGTTGATTAAGTTTATTATTGTATCAAGTAAAGATAACCAAAATTACCAATACCCTAAGCAAGCATGAAAGAGTAATGCCAAAAACCAAGCGGGCAAGTGAGTAAGCGTGTGAGTCGAATAAGCTAGTGTAAATAATACGAATTATGAGTTACGGTTGATGGTTAAGGATAAGAATTAGATTTATGGTTTTCATCAAGAACTGACATCAGCTATGATGCTCAAACGCTATTTAGCCAAAACTCCAAGATTCATTATTTTATATCTGATTAGTTCGTCGATAAAGGATAATTGAGGAAATTATAATTTATGGACGAACCAATCCAATTTACGATAACAAGTCTTAGATTTCGGCGCGAAATTCATTCAACCATTTATTTATATGCAATCCTAGCATTATAGCTGATGTCAGTTCGTGATGAAAAACCATAAACCTAATTCCTAACCTTGACGATCAACGGCATATCATAATCATTATTCTTCAAACTGCTTTATAACCCTCATTTAACCCTAGTAAGTAGTTAGACAGTCTCAAGGTGACTTGAGCGTCGCTCAAATGTCATACATAAACTATAGTCTCACCTGATAATCTCTCCGACTTTCTTTCTGACAAACTATCTCTTCAATAATATGATATATATATGATTGAGATCATGAACCGATTGATGTTAGACCACCATTGAAAACCTGGAAGCACTGGACGGTCGTTTCTACCTATTGTATGACTCCTCAGAAGTGCGCACCCACGACCAGGGGTTCGAACCCACGACCTGTCAGTCTCGCGCGCGAACGTCCCACAATAGGACGAAATGGTCATCCAGTGCTTCCAGGTTTTCAATGGTGTTCTAATATCGATTGGTTCATGATCTCAATCAAAAACTTTACAATCTCCACAACCCCTAAACTGATGTCATGTATATATATTCGATTATTAAACTATTGTATTGTATTTACTTATAGATATAGTACGTATATGTATATATTTATCTGTTTTATGTTTTTGATCATTTTTAGAGTTTAGGACAAATTCATTCACCTTCTAATTTATTAAATTTTAATCCCAATCAAAAAATCCCTAATATACAACCAAATGATGTAACAACAACACCAATTCATTTAACAGATACATCACCAACAATGTGGTTACTTCCAGCGAAAATTCCAAGGTAGGTAAAAAACAAAACAAACAATTTTTCTTCTTTTAAAACATGAAAAAAGCACCAAATTTCATTGTAGTAATTTAATAGTTGAATTTATAAGTCGAAACCGATAGGTCCTTGGTTTGAATCACGTGAGCGAGATGATGGTTATGCATTATTGAGATGGTGGTTAGACGTAGTCAACTTGAAACCTTGGACCCGAATTTCGTGCTACTTGGTACTCGTCAGCATGGTGTACCTGTAATTTCGAGGTAATTGGTACTCCCTGACGGACTCGAACCTGTGTCACCTAGCTTCTCAGTCGATAGCATTCGATCTGCACTAAATAAGGACTTGACACACATGACATTGATCACCACCCAGAGATCAATCAACTGTGACTACATCTCACCCTCGGATAGCTCAGTGCTAACGTCTCTGACTGTGAAGCTGAATGATACAGGATCAAACCCGTCAGTAGGTATCATTTTTCTTAAGATTACAGATACCCATTGCCAAGTACCACGAAACTCGGGTCCAGTGTTTCCTGTTGACTACCTCCAACCACCATCTTATCTCAACATAGTGTACACAGTGTCGACTTTAGTCGAGACTAGTGGCCACATTGATAGCATTCAATTTGCACTAAGAAGGATATGACACACATGATATTGATTACCACCACCCAATGATCAATCAATTGTAACTATTGAGAAGTATCATCCCAAGACGAAATGATTGTCCAGTGCTTCTAGGCTTTACCATAATGATCTAATTTTAATCGACTAATGAATTCAACTATGAAATATATATCTGTATTTATGTCATAGAAATCAATTGACCATTTTCATTTTATCAATTTCTTCAGTTCCTTCAATTGTATTATACATCATTCAACAAATACTCCATTAGTCAGGTAGGTTATTAGACAAAACAAAATACAAAAACAAATCAATCATTATTGTTTCTAAGATAGAAACCCAATAACAAAAAAAGTATTCTATATTTTGCTTTACAATTAGTAATCTGTAGTTGATATAATTAGTTGGGAGGAGGCTTCATCTTTTTTTTTGCTGAGTAGTTCACAACTCAATATATCTATATTTATATTTATATTTGTATAGTTGTATATGTGATATTGACAGTAGAGTATATTTGTCTTCTAGTTGTTTATCTATCTGTTTGTTTGTAATTATTTCTTTTTGATATATATGTATATATATAGATTCTAGTCATCATTATAAGTAAATTGTCTTAGTTTCAATCGCTTTTTCTTCTTTTTTTCTTTTTCCCTTTTTCCTTTCTTTGTTTTGGTTGTTTATTGTGTTATTGTACAAGGAATAATGAGAATTGAAGAGGGAGGTTAATTATCAATACAGTGATCTTGAGTGCTGTTGGAAGTATGAGGGTGGTTATCATTTCGCGGTTGCTCACAACGTTGAAGGGTTCATTTTAGAGATACCTGAAAAAGAAATTGGGTTAGATGTGGTCTTAGTGATCTGAGAGTGTGACCACAGTGAACAAGGGACAACTGCTTAAGGTCGGTCGAACACGACCTTTTGTGAGTGATTTTCGTGTTATCTTCGTACTTTTGAGTCCTTCCCTCCAAAGACGGGTGTCCATGGGATAAGGCTAGGTATGTATTATTAGGGTCAACCTTTTCTAACCCCACCCTTCCTTGTCGGAAGGCAGCATAGCTGGTTGTCTGAAGGAAACATTTTACTGCCGTCACACCTCTGTACATTCAGCAGTACGAATTCACGTTCGGACCTTGGGTTTGTTGCTTTTAATCTTACTACTCTTCAACCAACCTGACATGTAGTACCTTGAGGAACGATTGTTCCAGCTAGTATAGCTCGAATAGTTCATCACGATAGGCAAGCTTGACCACTACATCAAGATAGCAATAGCGGTTGGAGACTCTGGGTGACATGGCTCAGGATCGACCACAATGGTATCTGTGTATACACTCTCTGTCTTCTCTTAAAACATGAGATTAAAATCGCTTCATATCTTTGTTTCTCGGAACTAATTCTTTCTTTCTGTACTATATCCTTATATGCCACCACTGAATTAACTACTTGTATGAATTCGGTGTTCAACTTGTTGTCTTGATGACGTATGGTAACTTAGATCGATGCATATATGTGGCTGGTCCTACTTTGTAACTGACCGACTGATTGTGCTATTGTTCACTTTCTTTTTTCTTTTTCTTCCACATTTTTATCATTTTATTAATATGTGTGTCATTAATGTATTTACTTATATACGAATAGTTTATTCAAGGGAAAAGAAACAATTAGTTTTTACCTTAGTTGAGTGTTAGTAGCACATTGTTTGTCTAGAGATAGATTACATACTATAAGTACATTGATATTTACTTACTTACTGACTTACTTACGCTTGTTACTCCTCGTGGAGGAACATAGTCCAACCACTAGCATTCTATCCAACCCTGGCATGGGCAATTCTTTCCCAGCTTTTTCCAGTTGTTGATAAATAATGCTTTAATGGATGATTATTACGTATTACTTTGCTTATTTTTCATTGACTGTATTATTATTCTTGTTGTTGTTTTTGTTCACTATACTGTGATTAATCCAATCAGTTGAGGTGCTTTAACAAAGGTAAGATGAAATCGTTTTGAAGAGAGTATAGTTGTGACATTAGGACTACTATTTTCTAATTCATAATATGATAATACATGATAAAAAAATACAAATAAAATATAAGCAAAGATGGCTAATAGTGGAATCCAGAACGAGCGTTTCATTCTATTTGAGATTTGTCAGATGGACGTATCTGTATCTCAGAGCTGATGTTCACTTTGGAACTCAAATCTAGTCCCGTTTGTTTCAAATTCTATCGCTAGTGCATATCTGAACTCAATAACTAAGTGGATAACGTGATGGCGTTTGAAGTGAACATCAATTCTGAGGTGAATGTGTATCCAGCTGACGATTCCGAAATAGGAAAAAATGCGTGTCATGAATTTTACTACTAACCACCGTCTATCTCTACATATAATGGAAATATCAAGGCAATCCTTACCGGGTGCATATATGCCAATAAGAGACTGGTCAATTGTAGTCATAAACAACAATGAGAAGATGCAAACAACTCATACAAAATGAATTCAAGATGAACATATAATGTACACATATAATGTACGTAAGTAACTATGCTTTTGATAATGGTTGAGCCAGATCACAAATTGACTTAAATCAAAAACAAAAACCATCCTATTACAAAATGATCGTAAGACTTCATCGTATCTCCAAAGTCATATCAGTAACACTGTCAAACCATTTCAAATAACCGAAAACTAGTTATCTACGTTGATCTCGTTTTTAACGATTTTTCGATCAATATCAGTCCTTAATGAGAAAAAAAAATTCCTCAATTTTTTTTCCTAATTCTAAGTTAAAATTAAAACGGAAACCAGTTGAATGTCTAAATAAACATAATCCCATTCATCACTATTCCAATACCTTTTGAAAGATAAATTCACTTGGTATTGTTTCATTCGAATCTTCCCATTGATGTTTAAGGACTGTAATTGATCAGTCTCTTATTAGCATATGTGCATACCGTGCATATTGCCTCGATATTGTTTTAATTTACAAGCATTATAAGTAACGATGGATTGTGTATAGCAGTGGGGAATCCAGGACGCGCGTTTCGTCCTGTTAAGGGCTCGTCAGCTAAATATAAACTGAAAAATCGGTTAATGAGCACTTTATTGTCCAGTTCAACGAAATAGTGATGAATTCATTCTAATATGTGGAAAAATTTAATCACTTTTCATATTTCACCAGTTTTTTTAACTAGATGTTAAGACAATATCAAGGCATTCCATATAAGATGCATAAATACCAACAAGAGATTGATCAATCGCAGTCCTAAATAACAATGGGAAGATACAAATAAACAACATCATGTATTTCAAGCATACTGGGTTTATATACAAACCAAACAGACCATATGACACCAGTAACACTTGTACAAGTTTCAGCCAAATGTGACTGTGACTGTGCGAGACTTTAACTAATAGACTGGGCATCATTCAATTATATTAAACCGTATAATGATAGTTTATGGATTAAAATGAAGCTAAAAATAAGAGGAATATGGATAATTAAGTTACTTAACATTTAAACCCATCAATTGAGCCGAACAGTTACCATTCATTATTCTCATCGGGATATATCACTTTACAAGATTAGACCTTGTTATATTGAATATCAATAATAGTCTTATCATGTACTATACATTCTAATAACAGTTTACAACTGTCTCTTCCTCTCCCTCCATCTCTCTCTTCTCTCTTTATCTTCATTTATCACTTTTCCCTTATGTCATTTGTCTTATAGTTGACCCTTTCAAGTTTGTTTGTTTGTTTGCTGGTTGCATTAAAATCTCTTGACAAGGCAATATGTACATTGCACGAATACATCAAAACGTTTACTATTTTAGATCAATTTCATTCTTTTCATGAATCTTTATCTTCTTAGAACGGACTAATTGTTTCCTATCTAACCATGTCATATAAGTTTTGTGTGAATTGTTAACCTTGACAATGTACAGTTTGATGTAGCTTGTTATTGTCTCGTATTATTACAACAACTATTGTTCATCTAATCAACCTTTTAACAGTTAGCTGTATGTCATTGAAGCTGAGATGACATTTAAAATAATTATTCATTTTTATTTGTAATGTAATAACAAGAGGAATGTTGACCTGAAAAGAAAAATTGGATCCTTTTAAGTTTTTCATTATGGGAAACATTCATGTTGACACGTCCTTCCTTCCTTCCTTCCTTCCTTCCTTCCTTCCTTCCTTCCTTCCTTACTTACTTACTTACTTACTTACTTACTTACTTACTTACTTACTTACTTACTTACTTACTTACTTACTTACTTACTTACTTACTTGCTTACTTACTTACTTACTTACTTACTTACTTACTTACTTACTTGCTTACTTACTTACTTACTTACTTAGTTACTTACTTACTTACTTACTT